CTTGGCTGTAGCAGTCAGATGAAACCAAGAAGATGTCAAGAAAATCCTACAGAATGTGATTGGTGAATCCTGAGCACAGGCACATGCTGCATTACTAATACATGCACACTTGTACAACCTGGTTTTTTTTTGTTTGTTTGTTTGTTTTCCTAAAATGTTTCCATGTGTGTTTTTGCTTGAATTTGTTGGTTGCTATATCATATTAAAGGTGAAGAAAGATTTGATACGCTTTATGTTGGATCACAAAAACCTGCTATTTTAACAAGGGTGCGCAGACCGTTTTTATCCACTCCAGGTATACTACAGTAGGTAAAATAGGTAGAGTGTAGTGTAGTATATAAAATTCTGATGGTAAAGTGTACTATAGTAGGTTTTGGTGTATTAAATAGTCAGTATATTGGTATAGTGTAGGACAGGACATAAAATTGTCGATTTAGTATAGTGTCATAGATTAATAGGTACAATATGATCGTACAGTATAATAGATAAAATTGTTATAGCACAGTAAAGTGCAATACAGTATAGCAAATAGAATAGATATACTGTAATTCCATCCAAACTTATGCACTGCGTGTGGACTTTAACTGATAAAATGGAAATGAGAGCATCAGTTCTCAGAAGGGTGAGACTTGAGGTATATAGCACAGCAAGCTCCTACACTGCACGCCTAGTATAACTTGTTTTGCTCACTGAAATGTTTAAATTTGTGTGTCCCAAACCTGTATATGTTAGAGTATAGCATAGCGTAGTATAATATAGTTTAATATAAGCATAGTATAGTATGATTTAGTGTGCTGTAGTGTAGTATAGTTAGTGCAGCATATGAAATTGTTACAGTATAGTGTAGAGGAATGTGTAAAAGACATTAGAAACTGGATGCTTATTAACTTCCTTTTACTTAATTCTGACAAGACAGAAGTACTTGTGTTAAGACATGCAGTTAGAAGTAAGCTTTCTGATTACATAGTAACTCTGGATGGCCTTTCTGTTTCATCATGTGCAGCAGTTAAAGACCTTGGTGAGATTAGTCTCCAGTCTTTCATTTGAAGCTCATGTAGATAATATCACTAGGATAGCTTTCTTTCATCTCAGAAATATTGCTAAAATAAGAAATATAATGTAACTACATGATGCAGAAAAATTAGTTCATGCTTTTCTTACCTCTAGGTTAGATTACTGTAATGCCTTACTGTCTGGATGCTCCAGTAGATGCATAAACAAGCTCCAGTTAGTCCAGAATGCAGCAGCAAGAGTCCTTACTAGAACCAGAAGATATGACCACATCATCCCTATCTTATCCACACTGCATTGGCTCCCAATCACATTTCATTGATCATAAAATACTACTATTGACTATTGACGCGCCTCAGTACCTGAGTGAACTTTTGGTCTTTTATGTTCCGCCACACCTATTTTGATCAAACGGTGCAGGCTATTTGTTGGTACCTTGAATAGTGTGGGCTACAGCTGAGGGTAGAGCCTTCTCTTACAAAGCCCCACAGTTATGGAACAGCTTTTCAATTAGTGTTCAAGGCTCAGACACAGTCTCAGTGTTTAAGTCTAGGCTGAAAACATATTTCTTTAGTCAAGTTTTTGTGAATAGTTTTTTTTTTCTTGTGTACAGGGGCAGGTCTGGAGGGTTCACAGGCATAGAGTGTTGTGGTGAACTGGGATGTTTGGATGCGGTCGCCCCCCCACTCTCACGCATTCACTCAGGTTTGTCGACGGTGGAGTGACTGGCCGCTTTATACCCCAGAGTGAACTCATGTCTGTGTTAGCTTCTGGCTCTCCCTTTTAGTTATGCTGTCATAGCTAGTCTTGCCAGAGTCCTTGCTTGCACTCTGCACACAATGTACATTGTCTTTAACTATTATCAGACAAAAAGCATACCTAACTATCTCTCCCAATCTCTCTCTCTCTCTCTCTCTCTCTCTCTCTCTCTCTCTCTGTCAAGCTACACATGCTACTCCTGAGATACTCAGACCTGCCTGATCCATCCTGATGCCCTACTTCTGGTTAGAGTTCTCATCGGTTGGAGATCACTCGCTGATGCTGGGGGTGGACGGCCTGAAGATTGGGCTTGCTGGGGATGGTGACGCCTGGGGGAGATGGCTTTGGACTGCGGTTTTTTTTACAGGCAGGTATACTGTGATGTCTTGGGATTGTGATTGCCTCAAGCAGTTTTGCACTCAGGTCTTCATCAGTGGATAGTGGATAGGGTCAACAAAACAGACTTCATGTGAAAACTGTAATGAATATACTGGTTGTACAATTGTACTATTTGTCCATGTAGTAAACAGTTATAGAAGGGATCTATTTATAATTGCACTATCTGTTGTCACCCAGATGAGGATGGATTCCCTTTTGAGTCTGGTTCCTCTCAAGGTTTCTTCCTCATATCGTTTCAGGAAGTTTTTCCTTGCCATCATGTCTTGCTCATTAGGGATAAATTCACATATTTACAATTTATATCCTGAATGTATTTATTTCTGTAAAGCTGCTTTTAACAATGTCCATTGTTAAAAGTGCTATACAAATATATTGAATACTTTAACTAGTATCGACCATTAAAATGTTTAAATTTGTGGATCCCAAACCTGTATATTTTGTTGAGCGCAATCGATTGGAAATGAGACTGTCAGATCTCAGCTCTAGAGAATGAAAAAGTAAGCAAAACTAAGTGCACTCCCGTGTTAGTCTTGACCACCTTAACGCACAGTGTGAATTTGGTGATGATCTGAGAACGTCAATTTTTTGCCCAGAAAAATGGTAAGGGGTTAGCCTTTGTGTTTTTTGGGTGAAAAATTCGGTGTTCTCTGATTTTCACCAGATTTACAAAGTGTGTTAGGGTGGTGAACACTAACACAGGAGTGCATTCAGTTTTATTTTTAATGTGCTTCAGAACTCAAGTGTAGTATAGTGTAGTATAGTGTAGTATAGTGTAATTCTACTATAATATAGCAGATAAAATCTTATATTTCCATCCAATCTTCTGCACTGCATGTGTAGTTCAACTAGTATTGACTCTTAAAATGTTTAAATTTGTGGATTCTAAACCTGTATATTTTACTGAGTGCAATATATTGGAAATGAGAGTGTCAGTTCTCAGCTTTTGGGAGTGATAAGGCAAAAGTAAGTGCACGCCTTTGTTAGTCTTGACTACCTTAACGTCAATTTTCTGCCCAAAATAACTTTAAGGGGTTAGCCTTTGTGTTTTTAGGGTGAAAATGTCTAATGTCTAATGTCATTTTACTAATTTCACAAAGTGTGTTAGGGAGGTCAACACTAACACAGGAGTGCAATTAGTTTTGTTTTAATGTGCTCCAGAACTGAGGAATAGTATAGTATAGTATAGTGTAGTGTAGTGTAGTATAGTGTAGTGTAGTGTAGTATAGTATAGTGTAGTATAGTGTAGTATAGTATAGTATAGTATAGTGTAGTATAGTGTAGTGTAGTGTAGTATAGTGTAGTGTAGTGTAGTATAGTGTAGTGTAGTATTATGTAGTGTAGTATAGTGCAGTGTAGTATAGTGTAGTATAGTATAGTGTAGTGTAGTATAGTATAGTATAGTATAGTGTAGTGTAGTGTAGTATAGTATACTACAATATAGCAGATAAAATCTTATATTTCCATCCAAGCTGCTGCACTGCACGTGTAGTTTAACTCATATCGACCATTAAAATCTTTAAATTTGTGGATCCCAAACCTACATATTTTGTGCAATATATTGGAAATAAGAGTGTCAGATCTCAGCTCTAAGGAGTTAAGGGGTAAGGGGTGTTTGTGTTTTTAGGGTGAAAATTTCAGCATTCTCTGATTTTCAACAAATTCACACCATGCGTTAAAGTGGTCAAGACTAACACAGGAGTGCGGTCAGTTTTGTTTTAAACCTGCTCCAGAACTGAGGAATAATATGGTATAGTATAGTATAGTATAGTATAATATAGGAGATAAAATCTTATTTTCCATCCAAGCTGCTGCACTGCACATGTAGTTTAACTAGTATCGACCATTAAAATTTTTACATTTTTGGATCCCAAACCTGTATATTTTATTTACTGCAGTATATTGGAAATGAGAGCATTGGATCTCAGCTTGTGAGAGCGAAAGTGCAAAAGTAAGTGCACTCCTGTGTTAGTCTTGATCACCTTAAAGCACAGTGTGAATTTGGTGAAGATCTAAGAACATAGAATTTTTTGCCCAAAAAATGGCTTTGTGTTTTTTGGGGTGAAAACGTCAGCGTTCTCTGATCATCACCAAATTCACACTGTGTGTTAAGGTGATCAAGACTAACACAGGCTTGCACTCAGTTTTGTTTTTAACGTGCTCCAGAACTGAGCTATAGTATAGTATAGTATCATTTAGTCTACTAGAATATAGCAGATAAAAAAATTAGATTTCCAGCCAAGCTGCACGTGTAGTTTAACTAGCCTCGACCATTAAAATGTTTAAATTTGTGGATGCCAAACCTGTATATTTTATTTACTGCAATATATTGGAAATGACAGCATCGGATCTCAGATTTAGAGAGTGATGGTGCAAAACTTAGTGCACTCCTGTGTTAGCCTTGACTACCTTAACGCACAGTGTCAATTTGGTGAAGATCTGAGAACGTCAAATTTTTGCCCCAAAAATAAAACGGCCTTTGTGGTTTTTTGGGGGTGAAAAATTCAGCGTTCTCTGATTTTCAACAAATTCACAAAGGGTGTTAGGGAGGTCAAGACTATCATGGGAGTGCACTTAGTTTTGTTTTTTAACCTGCTCCAGAACTGAGGAATAGTATGGTATTGTATAGTATAGTGTAGTGTAGTGTACTACAATGCTGTTCTTCTTTTTCTTCTTCCTCTGGCTGCTCCTGTGAGGTCGCCAAAGCAGATCATTGGTCTGCATGTTTGATTTGGCACAGTTTTTATGCCAGATGCCCTTCCTGATGCAACCCTCCCCAGTTTCATGCTGGCTTGGGACTGGCACTGGGAGTGCATTGTCTTGTGCAACCCCAGTTCCCTGGCCAGGAATCAAACCCAGTCTGCAGTAATGAGAGCACCGAGGCCTAACCACTAGTCCTCCAGGGACCCTATAGTCTACTACAATATAGCAGATTTAAAAAAAGTTATATTTCCATCCAAGCTGCTGCACTGCACGTGTAGTTTAACTACTTTTGACCATTAAAATGTTTGTGGATCCCAAACCTGTAAATTTTATTTACTGCAGTATATTGGAAATGAGAGCATTGGATCTCAGCCCTAGAGAGTGATAGTGCAAAAGTAAGTGCACTCCTGGGTTAGTCTTGACCACCTTAACGTTGGGTGTGAATTTGGCAAAGATCTGAGAATGTCAAATTTTTTGCCCAAAAAACGGTAAGAGTTTAGCCTTTGTGTTTTTAGGGTGAAAATTTCAGCATGCTCTGATTTTCACCAAATTCACAAAGTGTGTTAGGGAGGTCCACACTAACAGGAGTGCAATTAGTTTTGTTTTCGCATGCTTCAGAACTGAGGAATAGTATAGTATGGTATAGTACAGTATAGTACAAGCATAATATGGTACAGTATAGAGTGCTGTAGTGTAGTATATTGTATATTGTAGTATATTGTAGTAGATAAACAGGTGCAATACACTACGGTATAGTAGATAATGTTGTTATGGTGTAGAGTAGTATAGTACAATATAGCAGATATACCTTTTCTATCTCTATCCAATGTTAAAATTTGTGCGTTCCAAGCCCGTATATTGTGTTGAGTGTAATATATTGGGAATTAGTGTGTTTTGCCCGATCATGCTCCAGAGCAGAGATCTAAGTGCTCCTATGTTAGTCATGAGCTCCCCACAGGAGTGCACTCTACTTCCTCCTATTACGCTTCAGAGGTGAGATCTGAGCGCTTTATATGTTTTAACTGTCCATGTATAGAGTGGGAACAAACTTATATTATAGGGACCTCCAGACAGAACAAAATTATCAGAGCAATATTTCCATTCATACTATATTCATGCTTTAATGAATTTTACCCCATACACAGCTTAGATAAATACACTTCAAATACAAAAAAAAAATACATAAATGTTTTTAGTGTTGAAGCAAAACAGTGGCTGTAGGGTTTTGTGATCTTTTGGTCACAAAAATATTTAGAAAAAAATACTTGAAACCATGTGTCTTCTGCAGAAATCACTGAGTTGATCCAGAATCAGTTTTTGGCATTTGTAGTTCTTTTATTGAATATTACACGAACAAGGTGGGGACTGAACTTAGCGTCAACTCCACATTCTTAATCCTTTCTTAGGTGAACTTGTGGAGTGTCTTGTTTGACCTTTGGGAGAAAATTACATCAGGTTCCAATACCGTATCAGTTGTATCAATAAAATGATACAAAAAAAAATTATGCAAAAAGTTTTGTCCAAACAGTTTCCTGTTTCTGAATATACGTACAACTGTGCAATTTTACATTAATCTGATTTCCTAATAAACGGATCACTGCTGTTAAACTGTTCCTTGTTTTAGATCCAGGTACAGCATTTCTAAAGGCACTTTGATCCCCACATGCAAAACGTACAGCCTCGTCGCCCCCTAGTGGCCATCCTCAATCCTACATTAAAACATTGAGTGAAGGAAATATAAAAAAATACACACTGTTACACAAACGATACACACAGCAGTCCTGCTGATATACTCGAATAATAAAAACATTAGAGAGATACAAACTAGCTGGATAATAGTCTTTTTTTTTTCAGGATGAGTGGAAACATCTGTTCAGAGTGGAATGGATCCAGTCGTCAATGCAGCTTCTTTACATAAACCCAGAGCTGGAAAGAGAAATATTGACATGTCAGAAACTATAAAATAAGGTTTGTAAACAGTAACTTCATCTCTCAGTGCAGGTTTAATCAGCCTGTTCACTTTTAAACAAATTACAGCAAATGGTGTGAGCATGAGACACAAAATATTTGACCTGCTTTATACTACTTTTATAAATTTCCTCCACTGCAACTCTTCCATTTTGATTACAGTTTCTTGTTCATCACATACTAAGGGCGAGGGAGTGTGTCCTTAACACTGCAGCCCTTGGTTTGCTCATCTGGCGCTACATTTCAATAGAGAGGCTTTGTAAGCAAGAGGGGGGAAAAAATCTAACTAATGAAGGAGGCTCATTGTCACAGAAACCCATGAATTGTTTTAAAGACTAACATTTTTTCTTATACTAAAAAAGTAGATAAAGACACAGAAGAGGCTGCACAAAATTCCTAATTATTAGATTATGCAAATTAGAATAAGAAGGCTTTAATATATTTTATATATCTGATAATATAAAATTTGTGCTTATGACGACCCCCCCTTGTTGCCAAGCTCTATGTAAACACACTAATAGCCATACTGATAGTGACTGATAATTAGTTTTTATCTCTAGTTCACATCATTAGCTGAAAAATTATAACAGCTAACAGAGTGAGAGTTACAGACATCATTAGGTGAGCGTGGCTGCTTACTTCTTGCGGTCTTTGTCCTTCTTGAGGTTGGAGTTGGAGCTGAACGATTGGCCCTGCAGGAGCTCAGCCGCGGCTTTCTTTTTACTGAAGGAGTTCATCTCATCCTCCAGAGCCTTCCTCTTCTCATCCAGCTTGCTCTTCTCGTCAGCATGCAGACGCTTCAGCTGCTCAAACTTGCCCTGGAGCTACACACACACACACACACACACACACACACACACACACACACTCCGTCATGATCTCTTTCTTTGTGGCATGTTTGGAATTTGGTTTAGTCTCCATTTTCAGGAAAAGCAACAAAAAGATCTGAGTATTACTTCAGGAGGCAAAATACTTAAAGAGGATCAAGTCAAACTGAACATTTGTCTTAAAAACACTTTCAGACTGCATTACTGTGGAGGAAAACGGAAGAGCTTAATTTATTACTCCATACCGTTTACATCAGTAAGAACAAGGATGGAGATCTCTCTGCTTTAATCTCCCACACTGCTCCTTTAATCTGCCCCATCTGTGTGTGTGTGTGTGTGTGTGTGTGTGTGTGTGTGTGTGTAGTTGAGTACTTCCTCTCATTCACTCCTTCACAGTGTGTGTTTAATCTGTGTTTCAGGATGGATACCTCTCTCTCTGCCTCCTTCAGTTCCGTCTCTTTCTCTTTAACACGCAGGACAAACATCTGCCTCATCTCCTCCTCTCTCCGCTGCAGCTCCAGCAGGAACTCCTGACGCTTCGCCTCGTACGTCTCCTGCAAGCTGAGCACACACACAAATTACTGTGCATCATCCAATCTGTCTAACAAGATCCGTCTACAAGTGGAACCTTGGGCAGCTTTGACAAATAACCTGTTTGGTTTTGCTGTCATTAATTCAGACAGATAAAAACGGATAAATAGTGACGTGTCGTTCATTAGTAAAATTGTATTTGTTTAAAATTGTACATTGACAGTAAAATGTAATTGTTGGCAAAAAAAAAGAGGAATAAAACATGTCAGGACATGGTGTTATTGGAAAATAAACCCAACATGCACTCCAGTGAAGCACAGAGAGATGGTACAAGCCCAGAGAACACACAGCTGTTTGTTTCTACCTGACTGGCTTGCTGTCAGCGTCCGTGTCCTTGAAGCCCATCTCCTCCAGTTTGCAGCGTCTGTAGAGCTCGTAGTGGCGTGTGTGCGTCTGCTCCCGCAGGTCCTCCATGTTCACGCAGATCAGCATCTCCCGCAGCTTCACAAAATCACAGTGGTTCTCGTTCTCCACTGAAACACACGCCAACAACTGTGCTTCAGCAAATCTATGTGGGACACACGTACAGCATGAAAAACACACACGCACGCACACAGCATACCTTGCACCACACCCCAGGGGTACTGTCGCGCTTTCACCATCTTATTCCCAATCTTCACCTCCTCTGTGCTTCCCACCACGGCAAACGGCAGGTGGCCCTGGAAACCACACAGAAATTGTAATACGCTTCATCATTTGAGGATTCTTCCATCCTAATATACAAAGTTAGTCAGTTGTTATAATAAAATATTTCCTAAGGCCTCACATGATTCATGATGTTTTTACTTTCAGTTTCACTTTTTAGTACTTTAGCTTAAAAAAACCCACAAATGTCAGAGATGCTGTCAACGAAAGCCAAACTTCAGGAAACACTGGGACAAATACAGAACACCAAACACAAAATGCCAGCATTTTTATTCATTTATTTTCCCACATATTTATGTAGCATTGCATATACGTTGCTCTGATTTATATATTTTCAGTAAAACCTTTGCAGTGTTCACTGTCCTCAGTCAAGCTTTTTATTATGCCATGCACTATATCCTGCCATTGTTTAAATATGTCACAGATTACACTCTGAGCAAATCTTTAGGCTGGGGTCTGTACTTAAAGGTCACATTTTATTCTTGCTGTAATGAGATCGGTAACAAACTGTCAGTGAAATCCATCTGAATCCATTTGTCAGAGTTGTGCATACTCACGTTCATGGCGCTGTTGATCTTGGAGACGGTCTCGTCGTCGGTGGGGAACTGATAGATCTGCACTCCGTTGCTCACCAGCTCACTCATGATCTTAATCTTAAACTTGTGCAGCTCGCTCTTAGAGATGGTGTCCGCCTTGGCGATAACTGGGATTATATTCACCTTTAAAAACAAGGAACATACACGACATGAGGCTTAGAGCCACGGCTGTCTAACGGTACGTGGCCACTCTGCACGGCGCAGTGAAATTCAGCTCATCGAGCAATAGCAAAAGTTCAGCAAGCACAAATTTATGCAAATGCTCTAATTTAGCTGCTGCACTGAATTTAGCCCATTAGTGAGGGTACGCTGGTGTTCGAAATGACCGATAATGCAAACAAGAGGGGCAAATCTAGTCATTTTTACTGTATTATTTGAACTAATATCTGAAGCCCATTAGGTTATTTCCTTAGCTTACTAAAACAGTTACAGTTTATTATTACTTCAATTTAAAATTGTTCGATAATGCTTACTTATTAGTGCCGTTATCAAAGTGAAGAGGAAAGGTCACCAAGTATTGGGAAAAAAATGACACAAATAACTCATTTTCATGGTTCACCTGCTCTTCCTAACTTG